TCCTCAGAAGGGAGATGCTCCACTCTCTCAACCATCTCTGTGGCTCTGCACACAAAGTAAGATTTTAGTAAGGAGGCAGAAAATTGTCCAGCCATTAGAGAGTGCAGTGGAATCCACCACATTTTAAAACTAGTTTTTCATCGCCCTTCGAAGTTACTAAAAGTGCTTTCTGAAAGACTGTGCTCCTCATGAGTGAGTCTCATGTTCAGTTTTGTGCTGTCATCCAACAGGCACTAGCAGAACTTTTCTGGACAGAAACCTTGAGTTGATGGTATGTTTCCACTCTCGCAATATTCAAGATAGATGGTGTTCTGCTATTTAATGAGTATTGATGGCCAAGTGTCTGAAACCCCTTTTGGGTGCAGTTAGGAGTAGTGTGAAAGCTTGTAGTTGTGATACGTAAATGGTTGCCTTTTCAGGCTGCAGCATAAGCCCAGGTGCTTGAAGAACAAGCATGCTTGCCACAGAGTGGAGCAGTGTTAATTGGCTGAGGAAGATGAGTTATTAAGCTAAAGTGTCTGTGTTGGGAAGAAATAGAACTTGGAGCAGCTTTTTAAAGCTGTAGGGAAGAATGGTGAATTGAGCTAAGTATGATGTTAATCAGTTGGATATCTACTGTTTTATTTAATGGAAGTATAAACGATAGTAATTTATTCCAAGAACCACAATTTTTTCCTGTGCACAAAGTAGTACCTCTGCGACAATCCCAGCTACGCTGCCTGTAACTGAGTGTTCCGTGGCATGGTTGTCAGGGCTGGCCATCTAGATGGAGATGAGGAACTGCTCTTACTGTAGAAGCTGACATGGCCTAGTGGTACCCTATGGAAGTGTTAGAAGAGAAGCATTGCTTTACTCTTTTTTGGTAACTTCTCACTTACCCAACAGCTTTGCAGAATGTTCTAATGTTCTTTTCATATGGACAGTTTTTTCTCCAGATACAGGGCTTTGTCCAGAGCTAGTATTTCATTGAATCATGAGCAGGGACAGTTTTATCTAGATCAGGTTGCTCAGAGCCCTGTCCAAGATGACCATGAATGTTTCTAGGGGTGGGGCTTCTACCACCTCTCTGGGCAACCTGTTCCAGTGTTTCACTCCCCTCATTGTAAAAAATTTTTTCCTAATATCTAGTCTAAATCTACCCTTTTCTAGTTTAAAGCCATTACTTCCTGTCCTATTGTTACCTGCCCTTGCAAACAGTCCCTCCCCAGCTTTCCTGTAGGACCCCTTCAGGAACTGGAAGGCTACAGTAAGGTTCCCCCCAGAGCCTTGTTTTCTCCAGACTGAACAGCCCCAGCTCTCTCAGTAGGTCCCCACAGGAGAGGTGCTCTAGCCCTCGGATCATCTTTGTGGCCTTCCTCTGGATCTGCTCCAACAGGTCCACATCTTATCTTATATTGGGGGCCCCAGAACTGGATGCAGTATTCCAGGTGGGGTCTCACCAGGGCAGAGCAGAGAGGCAGAATCACCTCCCTCGCCCTGCTGGTCACACTTCTTTTGATGCAGCCAAGGATGGGGTTGGCCTGGGCTGCAAGCACACACTGCCGGCTCACATCCAGCTTTTCATCCACCAGTGCCCCCAAGTCCTTTTCCCCAGGGCTGCTCTCAATCACGTCATTCCTTATTTACCCTGTGACAGTTACTTTGCGTAGAATAATTTTGGCTGTAGGTATGAGAGGATGCTGGAGGAAATGACCAAAGAGCATACTGTCTGCATGCTGCTAGAAGAGCGTATTAGGGTCATTAAACTGGGGCTGGGCGGAGTTAGAAGAGGAGATGAATGAGTACCAAACCACAGTTGGTATTAGGGTGCAGCGTAGGAGCTGTGTCAAGATTGAGCTTGTATGCATTACTGTAAGCATGCAGTTGAGTGGTAGAGTGGTCTTACAGTCTCTTTAGTGGCACAGGAGTAGTAAGGTAGACTGCTTACTGTTTTACTGGCTCTGCCAACTAAAGAACTAAAAAAAGTAAAATAATGCTGTTTTGATTTTTTTATAAAAAAAAAAAAATAATAAGCACACCCCCATCCCAAAACCTGTGTGTGATGGTTCTTAAAGCAGCAAACTTGTGAATCCCTCAAACGTGTATTTTTTTATGAAAGTGTTAACAAGTACTTGAAGTAAAAACCCAATAGGAATTACTAAACAGCCCAGAAAGTCCTCTAAGTAGATGTTGGAGGGTGTGAAAATAGAAGAAAACAAGAACAGGACAAGCATTTGGAAATGGCTTCAAGAAAATGCCTGATGGAGAAATTTACAGTTAAACAGATACCAAGGTTAGGACAGATGGCTTCTAGATAAATTGAATAGGGTTGGAGAAAGAACTATTGCTTTGGGCCAAAGTGGACTCAGTGACATGATGTAGCAGGGGATACAAAGTTTTCCCTCTTTTTATACAGGTAGCATAATTCGTTGCATGAGAAGGCTTGAAGAATTGCTTCGGCAGATGTGCCAGGCTGCAAAAGCCATTGGAAACACAGAGCTGGAAAATAAGTTTGCAGAGGGTATGTATTTTACTTCCACAGTGTAAGAAGTAACTCTAGAAAGCATATGAAAGGAAAGGCGGGGGGTGGCAGGCAGGGCAAGGTATGCATGAATGATTTGGTAATATAAGCTTCTGGTATTGACTTCATAGTAAAGAGCATCATTGCTCTATAACAGATGTTATCTGGAAAGAAAGCTTGAGTAAAGAGATGGTGTTTTGATGCTTAAGTTTGTGACTGAGAATGGATATGCAATGACTTCCATTTAAGACTTGCAATGCTTTGTCTACTGCAAAGTGTTACACACTGGTAACTACACCTAAAATAGCAATTGTATCAGTCATGACCACAAGATATTAATACATTTTTCTTTTTTAATAGGGATTACAAAAATCAAGAGAGATATTGTGTTTGCTGCAAGCCTTTACCTGTAGAAGGTACCTACTGAAAACATTATGGAACAAGTTCATCAGCTTCACATGCTACTTCTATTTCAAATCAGTATTTCTTTTAATTTAAACCACAGTTGTTTTAACAAGGCATATACAAACAGCAGTGTATGTAATATAACTCTTACATGTTTTCATTAAAAAATTACAATTTGAGTAGCTTTTTTCTTTTAAGCAAGAGCTTGAATCAACAGAAAGTTAAATTTTTGATTTACAGTAACTGTTGTAGATGTTACTACATACAGGTAAAGTGAGCATCCAAAAGCAGCAGCAGTCCCTTAAAGGCATTCACTTATTATACTTAGTTAGACTTGTGAAACTGTTTTCCTTTCAGAGAGCAAGAGAGGTGAGGTGGGTCATTCTTCATGGTTGATGATTGGTGCCAAAGTGATTTCCATTTGTTGGAGTCTCATGTAGGGTTGTATGGGAATCTTCTTTTGGTTGAAAGGTACATACTCTCTCTTTGAAGAAGTCAGACACAAACACAACCTAAGTGAACAAATTTACGTTAAGCTCCTGCATTTGTAAGTCTTTGAAACAACAGGTAAATGCTTTTGCAGAAAGTTAATTCCATATCAAAACTAATAAAACGTTTGAACAGTTTAAAACAAAAAATGGCTAGTAAGTCTCATGAACTGCCATCTGTTCTTTTAAGAGCTTTGTCTTGAGTTCTTACCCTTCCCACCACCAAGCCCTTGGCCACTGGTGGTTTAAGCCAAATGCAAGGCTTGTGTGGTAGCTGCTGTAACTGTCTTACTAGGCAAAGCTTCATTACAATAGCCACAGTTTGAACAACTCTAAACAAAGGAGGAAGATACGTTTGCTGAGGGCCCACCTCACATGTAGGTTACATTTATTCTGTGATATATTTAGAACATGACAGAAGAGCTTGTGCTTCAGCTGAAGAAGAGGGTTCAATAAGTCAGAAACTATTACTCTCTTGAGCATCACTCTCGCTTGCATTTCTTTAAAAGCTAGTTAAACCAAGCTTGGATTCTTCTCCTTGCAAGGCTCCAGCAGCTTCCTCCCCAGCTGTAAGGCTGGCTCTACTGACATGATCCTTTCCTGCCTTCCTTTGACCATACAATCTTTCTCCATAGCCACTGACTGTGAGACAGGTGCCTTGATTCAGTTCTTCAGCTTGCTCTTCCCCCTGCCCACCTAACCCAGTGATACCAGTAGACGTGCTGGGTACAGTGCTGCATGAAGTGCAGCAGATGAGAAACTGTCTTGCACGATCCTTCCTACATCATCTCATCCTTCCACCACAAACCTGAGAACGGTAGAGCACAGTTCAGGGTGGCAGAAGAAACCATCTCGCACACTGCTGGCAGGCTGGTGACCCACATGCTTTTCAGCTGTGTTACCTGATGGGCTTCAGCATCCACCTAATACCAGTTCCCTCAGCTCAGTGCAGTGCTGCATTTGCAGTTGCTGCCCCAGCACACTCTTAACCTCAGCCTTCTGTTTCTGGAAGCAAGCTCTTCAGTTCTTGCAGATATGGGTTGTGTTTGGGGGTTTTCATTTTTAAAAAACAGTTTCCCTATCTTTCAACTCTCTAATGCTACCTTCTACTAATTGTATTAGCAAGCATCTCTTAAGATAACTCTCTCAATCACCCAATATTCTTCACTGTTTTCCTAATTAAAATGCCCTCAGCTCTTCAGTCCTTGGTGTTTCTCATTCCCTGCACTCCTTGTCTTAGAAAACCAGACTGTATCAAAATGGGGGGGTAGGATTACATTGTAGTCAACATGCAGCCATTTAGTAACAGCTAATGCAGTACCTATGGTTCCTCAGAGCTGCTCCAAGATTTGCTTTGATGACTGACCAGTAAACTACTCTTTGTCTCTAACTCTTCTGACTTCCAGCTGAGAAAGCATTTATCATGTCAGTGGTTCTTCCCGGTGAGTGTTGGTTCTTATGAGGAGCGGCTGAGGGAGCTGGGTCTCTTTAGTTTGCAGAAGAGGAGACTGAGGGGAGACCTCATTCATGTTTATAAATATTTAAAGGGTGAGTGTCACGAGGATGGAGCCAGGCTCTTCTCGGTGACAAACAATGATAGGACAAGAGGTAATGGGCACAAGCTGGAACACAGGAGGTTCCACTTAAATTTGAGAAGAAACTTCTTCTCAGTGAGGGTGACAGAGCACTGGACCAGGCTGCCCAGAGAGGTTGTGGAGTCTCCTTCTCTGGAGACATTCAAAACCCACCTGGACGCCTTCCTGTGCAACCTCATCTAGGTGTTCCTGCTCCGGCAGGGGGATTGGACTAGATGATCTTTTGAGGTCCCTTCCAATCCCTAACGTTCTGTGATTCTGTGATTCTGTGACTGAATTCTTCCATACAACCTCAGCCAGCTCATGTCTCTGCACCAGCAGTCTCTGATCTGTCCCTTCCCATGGAGAAGTCAGCCGTGGCACTCGGGTGACTGCCAGCACAACTGCTGCCCCCACTAGGTCAGCCAGGCCTCAGCTGTTCCCTGGCATAGCTTTTCTCATCAGTACAGCTAAGCTCCATGTGCTGGTTGTTGTGAACAGCCTTTTAGCACTCAAAATGCACTCAAGAAGTGGTGAAGGGTTTTGGTGTTCCACCAGACTGAAAAAACAGGCTATATGAGCTGGCTGGTACTACCATGCTGTCCTTACTCTTAAAGGCCCTTTTTTTTGCCTTGCTTACCTCACACACAGTTGTTCTCAGCTATTATACTTGAGATACAGATTTTGGCTAGAAGAAAAAAGTATGGTTATTTGGAGGACCACATGGTTTTGTAGTTGACTCTTTCCATCTTGGTTATTTGAAAGTCTCTTGGGCAGGGGTATTCACGTTATAATTGGCCCGGAGTCTGCTTCACTTGCTAAAGTACCATTGCTACACCCAGTTCAAGGAGTTGTTTCCCCTCTCCAGCACTTTTCAAAGCATTAGGGAGGCAGGTCTGCTCTCCTTTGAGCAACCCTGCAATTCTAAGGTCCTGTTTATAGAAGCAGCTTTTTAAAACACACCCCCCCCACCGCCCACCCCTCAGGAATTACTTACAATGAGCACAGCTACCACTGCTCCCTGAATGAGTCCTGTTAAAACATCGCTCCAGTGATGCTTGTAGTCAGAAACACGTGAGAGACCCACATAGATAGATGCAGAAATAAGACCAAATTGTACAGTAGGACGTACAAGTCTTGCCCAGTCTCCTTTCATCCTGGCCTGAAGGTAAAGCTAGAAGGAAAAGAAAAATAGTTATAAAATGCAGTAAATACAAAAGCAGTAATAACAAAATTGTGTTTTTGTCTGTTCAAAGAGTTTAGTTGAAATCCACATTCAGAGACATAATAATGTCCACAAATTTTCCAAGTGCTACACTCTCACAGGTATGCCAAGGTAGAGTTTGATAGTGTTGGTCCTTCTGTTTTATATGAAGATACATAATGCCATCATACAGATACTTGCTGTATTATAACTGGGTTCAGGGAAAAGGTATAGTAGTACCAGAACCACTTAAGGCTTAGAAAGAATCTAGTTCAAATCGAATCAGTGTTTTACTTCTGCATTAACTACAGGTACGTCTTTTAAAAAAAGCTGGTAACCATCCAGATTTACAGTCCTCCAAATGCAGGGAGCCCCACGGTGCTCTGAGCACCAAGACCAGAAATATCTTCAGTAGAGTTCACATGCACTATACATAGAGCTGACGAGTCTTTAACCTAATTCCAGTCACCTTTAGTATTACCAGCTTTTACCATAATGTTCCAGCTGTAATTAAGCACCACAAGGGGCTTTTATATAAGGATTGATAATGTCTGGGATCACATTCCTCAGTTGTCACTGGTGCAATTTCACCAACCCCTACCCATTCCTGGTCCTTTTTACCTGCATATGAACCACAGTTACCACTCAAGTAAGCAAGTGGGTGTTGTGCAGTTCTGGTTCTTCTCTCCCCTCAGCTCTACGTTATGTATATTCAAAAATACTGAAAATGCACAGTATTTAACTCTTACTACCTGCCCATCTAAGCTAAGACCCTGCTTTTGTCTTCTCTGCTCTGTCTAGGACAGAGACCTCTTATTTCAGCTATAAGAGGAGCTTCTCCAAATCCACCCATAATCATAATTGAATCTATTCTGAAACCAAATCCTGTCACCAAAAAAGGCACCATAGTTATTTTATTTACAGAGAAGAACAATACAGTTATATTTAACATAACAAGTATATCTTTTCAGTACCATCTAGGAACTTCAGGTTGAGTACAAAACCTTAATTGATGGTCTTGCAAACTCGAAGCTAAATCAAACACAGATTTCAGGGACTATACATTTTAGACTTCTGGTAAATCCCTCCACTGCCAGCTTCAAAAGCCATGGCTACCTTTTAGAAGCATTATATTTACAATGTAAACACCAGCACAGAGCATGTACTGTAGATGCAAAGGTGCTACTTTCCAAAGTTAAACATCTGGGGAATCTTTGGTTGGTTTCTCTGAGTAATTTGCATCATAATTTTGGCATGGTGACTTTTTCCAGCTATAAACGAAGCATCAAAAAGATCAACCCTATCCATAACCCATTTTCCTTAATAGCAAGGTCAGGGCAAAATTTGACTCTGAAGAAGCTACAGCAAAGCCTGAGCTGGAAAATATTTTTTTCCCCTCAAGCGGAAGGCACTGCGTATTTCTGAGAACCTCAATTTCACCACAAGGGAAAATACTGTATAGCCACTTCAAAAATTAGCTGTCACACAGTTCTTTTAACAAAAGACATTTTAATGGTCTCATATTAATACTACTTTTGGATTTGCCAACAGTAGGCCAGAACACTGCCTGACTGCCAAATGGAGCAGAGGTAGGGTCCAAGGAGCACATGCTGGTAGCCTGAAGCTGGCTGATGATTTGATACTGGCTGGTCTTTTCTCTTTTCCCATTTCCACTAAATTCTTTTT